TCACAGTATAGCATGTCGTCCAAAATCGTGAAAAAAGAAGACATACTATAGTGTGCCACTCAAAATGTCATTAAAATGTCACAGTATATGTTACGTGCCTGTGTGTTTTGTGCCCGTCCATTGTTTCAGCGTGCAGCTGATCCACATCCTTCCTCCTCAGCGAGGAGTATGAATGAATGAGGGAGGAGCAGTGCCAGTGGGCCAGAGGGCTGTGACAGTTGTGTGTTTGCAAGACGTGGGTAGCAACGTCCCAATCATGTTTTGAATCAATTGTCATGTTTTGAATTAATTGTAGCTGAAATTACAGTAAAACAATTTTTAAAAATGATTAAATGACATGCTGCAGGCCAGTGATTCCCAACCTGGGTGTAGTTCACTGTGTACTTCTGCAGTCACCACAAAGTACAAGGAAAAATTGTGAGAAGGATCACAAACTGTGGCTGGCAGTATATTGATAGTCACAATAACCAATAAACTAGCAACAGCAACGATAAGCGGACTGTACAGTTTACCACCAACCTGAGTCATTAACTGAACACCAGCTGCTGTAATTCAGAGTTCTTGAAAACTAGTTTGCTCAAACTCTAGTTAACAGAAAAGTCAAAATTAATAACTAACACATGCAATTGATCAAACATACAGAAGAAAGAGAGCAAGCCTAAAAACTCCAGGATAAATATGTCTTGTATGAAACAATACTATAACAATATTCAACAATATTCAATCAATGTGGCACCCAGATAGCTCTTTCCTGTCACTCTCTAAGCTGTAATGTAATAAAGGCAATACCACCCCATCCAAAAAATACTTAAATAATATATGATCAATAGTAATAATAGCATCCAGTTTCAAATCATTTTCAATGAACACATTTTCTACATGACAGGTGGTGTCACTGAAGGGTATCTGAACTTGAAATGCACCTGTCAGGGTTGTGGGGGTACAACGGACTAATAATGTTGGCTTATGGATCTGTAGTGCTGGGCTTTGCTGAAAATCTGCTGATATGTTTTGCTACTGACAGGGCTTTGTCTGGTTTTTTAACTCCTCTATGTTCGCCGATGGTCACTGCTTTCTCTTTGGTGTGTTCCCTCAGTGCTGCCCGAATGGAGATTGCCTCACAGCGCTTCAGTGCTCCTGCCACAATGTCCTTTCTGAAGCTGTAGTCTTTGCAGACCTTCACTGGTACCACCACATACTGCTGACAAGCCTTGGAGAACTGGTGCTTCATTTGCTCCTCTCCCTGTTTGGTCTTTGCCGTCTCTCTGATCACGTTGTGGTTGTGGTCCAGCGCAGCTACACGAAGCCGAGCCTCAAAGCTCTCCCTCAGGAATTTCTTTCTCTTTGTGACATACTTTGTTTAGACGGAGTGGAGAGACTCAAGTGTGCCAGTGTGAATGCCCTCTGTTACTTTCTCCAGCTTTTTCCAACAGCAGTTTGTCCAACACAACTTTCTGCAGGTGTTTAAATGCAGCAGAGCTGGGAAGGAGCCATGGGCATTTGTTTTCCTCTTCAGGGCTGTAGGGAGGGTGCTCACATTTCCGTATCATCTCACCAGATGCCCATTGGTGAGTGTTGGTGATGTGGTGCAGCACAGATATCCATTTCTCCTTAAGCTTGGTCACACTTCCATCACATGAGCCAGCACAGTACCATAGGTGGTTGGTGTTCATCCTGCTCCACTCAAGCAAGTCCTCATTGTGGCATTTCAGCAGACTCTTTTTTACACTTTTAACAATGTGCCACAGATCGTACTCGTGCTTGATGTTGCCATACTCTTCTCGCATTACCCTTTGGACAGACGGGTGGCAATCAGTTGCTAGCACAGAGATGGAGACGTTGTGTTCGTCCAGCTTTGCAAGGCATCTCTCCAGACCTTCAACCTCTAGCTAGTAACTGGTCTTTACTTCAGTGACATTCACGGTCTCCTGAGCAACCAGCAGCCCTGACTTTGTGTCAGTGACGGAGTAGGAGTAGGTGCCATATGACGCATTGTGACCTGGGCTGTCATACCTTGAATCACCTGACACCACCAGTGGTTCATCACCTACTGCACTCATTACAGCCTCATTGTGTGAACACCAGGTTTGATTCACTTCAGGGATGACATAGGCCTTTTGAATCTTGAACCACTGTCTCTTGGAGAGGCTCTCTAAGCCAATTGTTTCACAGAGCTCAATGAATGGAGTGCATTCATTCCCTGTGACAAATACTGCTGCAGGTACTGACACATTGCACTCCATTACACCCCTCACCAGGGGCTGGGAACGCCAGGTATAGCTGTGGCCATCAATGCACTCAGTCTTCACCTTCATCCCAAATCCACTTTTGGAAACAGTTGGCGGCTCAACAAGACATTTTCCACAATTCTCCCAATGACACACAGTGAACAGTTTCAGTAGCTCTTGCACAGATACTATGCTCTTCCTGTCATCTGAGAGATTGAACTCCTCATCTTTGACATCAATCAAGCTCATTTCCCCTTCTTCTTCTTCTTCTTCTTCTTCTTCTTGATGATGATGAATGATACCTCACTATGCTGTGGTGATGAAGCCCTTGGCACTGGGATGCTATCCAATACACCAAAGTCATCCACTGATGTACAGTAGGAATGGTCGTTGATGAGTACCATGTTCTTTTCTATGTCATCGGTGACTGTACCTATGCTCACACGTGTTCTTCCACTGCCCTCACTTTCATCTTCCACCAAGTCAGTCTGGGTACTGACATTCACCATGATTCTGCTGCCTCGACTTTCTTCCAGTTCCTGACATGCTTCCTCACTTCTAGTCAACTCCAATACATGTTTTTAGACTTATTTTATCTTTATCATATAAACAAAGTCTAGCCATTACAATATCAAGCTCACAACAAAGTATCAGTATAAATTACAAACTGAGCACAAAGCAATAAAAACAAAGAAAGAATGAAATAAAATGGTCAAAATTGTCTAAATATACAATCCTGATCCATTCATCCATGATTTTTATACATTTTATTGCTTTAAAATACGGCTCTATTAAATGCTGTATTCTGATTGGTCAGTCGCGGCATTCAGTGGTCTGATATTACTGTGTAATGACCGTTGCTAGTAGCAACGGTCATTACACAGTTGCTACGTAGCCCAGCGTTGCTAGGGACGCCGTCCTGCAACACTGCAGCTGTCAAACAACTTCCGAGGGAAAAAACAAACAGAGTGGCTGATTTTAACATTTCTTTTAACTTATTTGGAGAGTAGCTACAAGGATTTTGAGGAATGGGATGCCGCTGAAGAATAAGAATACGGACTTTCTCTGCCAAAAACAAAAGAACACGGATTTGAATACACAGTCGGCAGTCAAGTTTTATGCCTCGGTTCAGTCCACTAAGCCTGGGTGAGTATACACAACTTTCACCAAAAGTTGTCGAATCCGGTCGGTTTTAATGCACTTTGCGGAGGCAGACAACATTATTTATTTAACTGATAATTAGCCGTGTAATAAGCGGGATAATGTATAATGAGCGGGTGAATACTGGGAAAACAACTCCCGACAGGGGAATAGAACCCCGACGTGCAGCGGAGGCTCACCACCGGCTCATTAAGCCCTTTTCACACAGAGCGCGCAAAGCGCAGACCTCCGCCGACGAACCCATTCATTAAGTATGTGCTACCGCGGCTCAAGAGCACACCGCTCTACCGCCGGGCTGAGCGGCGCGCGAGAGGGCGCATGCCGCGGCGTCTGCGCCGTGCCAGCCTGCGCTCGAATTGAACATTTTTTAATTTCACCGCAACACGCTGTGATGACACCTCGGGGCGTCCAATACAGAGAAGAGCCTGAAGTAGACCCGGAAGAGGTCACCATGGAGCTGTAGCTCCTGAACGAGCCTGTACTCCCCCAAATCCTGTCTTGCGCGCTGCGAAAATCGCGCTCTGTGTGAAAGAGGCTTTATACATTATCCCTTAGGCCTACGTAATAAACGGTGGTTTGCTGAATAACCGCGTCATCCTTCCACACGTCCTGGCCACAGTCTATGGTCCTAGCGGACGCTACAATTTTATAGGCTACATTTACAGTAACACTACCTCTCACTCTTCTGCCTGGCTCGCACGTTTTTGTGCCCTTTCCCTCCGGCGGAGAACAGAGTCCGTAGTGTCCGTATGTAGTGGTCTGTCCGTTTCCCCTACACTGTAAAGTGGTGGAAAAAAGTTTTCGGACACTCTTAAAATTTTACACAATCTCAAATATTATCATGAAATATTTGTGGAAAAATCTTTTTTGTGTTTCAAAAGGTGTGGCTGCATTAGACAGATACAAACAAATACAAATTATATTTTTTGGTTTATTGTTTACAAGAAAAACTAACAAAACTGAGCTGGCCACTCTAAGACCTGGATACTGTGCTCCTGCAGCCAAGTTCTACTGGCCTTGGATGTGTNAGTACTCAAAATTTCTTATGTATTTTTATGGAACCAATCAATTTTAAGTTTTTAATGGCTGTCTTAGGATTTATTTAGTATTTTGGCTGTGACTGTACTAAAAGAAATTGCACTTGAAGACCTAAGAGTGATTCTTAATGCAATATTTCACAAATGCATGGGGTGTCCGAAAACTTTTTTCCACCACTGTACCAGCTAAAATCAAACACTGATGGCACGGAATCTGGCTTTAGCCGATTTGTGGGCCGACGAACAAATCTTCCGGACTCATCGAAGCCTCCCTCCTCCACATAATCTGATGGCAGAAAGTGGTCACTGCAAACTCTTAGTCCAGGTCCGACAGGTGGACTGTCGCGTTTCAAAGCAGACAGCCAGCGGCGCATCACTTGTGGTCTCCTCACAGGAAGGACGTGAAAATGGACCAGTTTACCACCTTCTTTAAGTCGATAAAACTCATTTGAACACCCAGGAGCAATACAAAATGATCCTCCTCGGGTTCTCCTTTTGTCGTCTCCTTTGCTTTCTCTACCAGCATCCATTTTGCCAACCACTTCACTAACTCCTACCGGCGAACAGAGAACGACAGAGCCGAACCATTCGCGTGACGTCACTAACTAGCTTGTTTTAAGATGGCTGCGCCCTACTGGTGAAAAAGTGAAATACATCTAGTTTTTATAGCAAATCTGGGTGAATATCAAGTTTGATTGCTGTGTCATATCTTGCCTAAGGTAAAAATCTAACGAACCACAGTCATATTGTTCAGTGCTGGCAGCTAATTTGATAACATATATAAGCTGAGTAGGTGGGTGATGCCAAGAGCTTTTGTCAGTGTCAGACTTTAGAGTGTGAGCCAAGTACGTAACAATACAGATTCGATATAAATAAGCTCCCAATAAAAGTAGAAAAAAAAATCATTCTTTCAGTTTTGACCAGCATTAATCTGATGTTACTCACAGCAACTCTGGCCTGGAAGTCAGCGGTGGGTACGATGGGAATGGGCCCTCCCTGCTTCCCAAACTTCCTCTCTAAACTTTCCTGCACAGACACTAGAAGGGAAAAGAGAAGAAAACAGGAAATTAAAGAGACATCAAAGACATCTGTTGTTACTGGACCATGACAAATACCAGCCATCTATCTAACAATGCACGATGTGTGTGTGTGTGTGTGTGTGTGTGTGTGTGTCATTCTGTCACATATCTCTCAAACCGTTCACTGGACTGACCTAATATTTACTATAATTTCTCAGGGCATGTGGTTGTGCCTTTTCTGACTTTTAAGTTATTTGAACCATAAATGCGGAACACACAAATAAAAGAAGCAAAAAATGCAAGTCATTGGCCACTGCCTGCAGTGGAATAAGGAAGGAAAGACAACAGCTGGAAGTTATCATTGACAGTATGAACACACCCACACACACAGAGTCACACAGTCAGACCAGGCAATGCAGGAAAGCCACGTCAGGTCAGCACATGAATCCACGGAAAAGGACTGATAAATTAATGTGGTAAGTTGTTTAATTTGATTATGTACATGTTTAAGTTAATATATTAAGGAATATTTGATTCAAATGTAGATAATAAGTTAAGGTTAAAAACTTATTTACAAGTCAACTATTTACAAGATAGGGCTAATTCATGGCTTTGTATACAGCACGATGATTGCCAGTAAAAAGTTTAGCCTGCAGCTCTTACGCTTTGATGAGAACACTAAACCGTGACAGCTCATCCAGCTCATCCAGTTTTACAACTTGACATCTCTTGTTTTATATGACCTGTATTAGGGCTGGGCGATATCTGGAGATATCTGGCGATATCTGGAGAACTCAGACTGGCACACAGAATCACTCAGTCATTTCAAAGTGATCCATATTTTCTGTGTGTGTCACCACACACTGCGCTACAATAATATCAACTAGTCTGATGAGCTGCGCTGCTCTGAAACAGATGACCGCGCCCATTGTACATTATACCGCTAGGTAATCCTCTGAAATAAATTCACCTCAAAACAAAAGAGCGATGCTTTGACCTGCAGGATATTCTAATATCTTTACTGTGGCCTTTCTTACCACGATTCCCCCAAAAAATACACCGATTGAAACCAGCAGAATGAGAGCAATTATCAAGTCGTTATCATGTGAACAGTGGGGGGAGGGGAGGTGGACACTAAGCGCTCACAGCTTTTATGTTTTATCTAAATCACGTTATTTCAAAAAATCTCATTATTCAGCAGTGGACACATTAGAAAGTGTAAATTATGAGGTTTCTGTCAATATTTTTTTTACGCTTGTATGATAAGAACTGATGGAGACATTAATCCAAATAAGTGACATATTAATCTAAATCCTGCCGAGCTCCACTGGCGCAGGTTTCATTGAAGAGGCCCCGCCTTCACTTCCGGCAAATCGTGTAGTGTGCAAAGCAAAATAGGCTCGTTCGAGATGAACTGCGCCTCGCCTGGAAAGTAGACAACTTTGGCCAAGAGGGAACTTTAGATATTGGTCCCTAGATTATGTTCACCGCGTTTCATGCAGATCGGTCAAACTTCCTAGGAAGAGATCGATTTTAAGTGTTTTTCAAAAAATTCAAAATGGCGGAAAATCTATATAACCGGAAGTATGGGTTCTTGAGGCTAATTTGTTATCCAGAGGCATCTCTGTGCAAAGTTTCTCTATGACATACGTGGGCATGAGATGTGCCCATTCAAAGTTTACAATTTCAATCGGTCAATTTGCATCACAACACACACACACACACACAGAGTTTTCGTCATTATATAGTAAGATGTGTGTCTTGAGGCAAATGTGTTCCTCATGAGGAGACGTTCAAAGTTTGCAATTTCAATCGGTCAATTTGCATCACAACACACACACACACACACACACACACACACACACACAC